AGAGGTAAGATGGCAGATAAATCTTGTAAACTCCTACTTACATATAGTATGCCAATTATCCTTACTTTCTTGTATGCTTCTTTATTGGGTTTTATCTGTAACTTTTCTATTAAAATTTAGGAGGGCTGGTCTGAGACCAAGTCATGAAGGCTATGCTTCTCAGAACCATTAAGAGAGAGATAACAGGCATCAGGTGTCAGGTGCAGAAATGCAGTTGTTATATCTTTTTCACACTCCAGCCATCTCCCATTAATGTAGGGTTACACTCAAAAAGGGAAACAAATTTCCCATCATTCATTATTATTATTATTATTATTATTTTAACAAGCTGGCCATCTACGACTGAGGTAGGGTGACCCAAAAAGAGAAGAAACATTTTTACCATCACTCACTCACTCCATCACTGACATGCCAGAGGAGTGCCAATATTATTATTATGGGAAGTGCTTAATCTGTGGGGATCATATAGCACCTAGAGAATGAGAGGCAATGAGGTTTGGCATGACGATGGGGAAGGAAGAAAGTAAGTACCAAGAAAATAAAGACAAATGTTGTACTAAACTTTGCCCAGTAATTAGTGCCAAATCTTTAACAACGTGAATAATAATTTTTTTTTTTAAAACCCTGCCATCTCCCAGTGAGGCAGGGTGATCCAAAAAGAAAGAAAATCCCCAAATAGAAAATACTTTCATCATCATTCAACACTTTCACCTCATTATACATAATCATGATTTTGCAGGGTCCCAGGTAACAGTCTAGAAGCATTTTTATTTTTTTTACAAGTCGGCGATTCCCAACCGAGGCAGGGTGACCCAAAAAGAAAGAAAATCCCCAAATAGAAAATACTTTCATCATCATTCAACACTTTCACCACACTCGTACATTATCACTGTTTTTGCAGAGGTGCTCAGAATACAACAGTTTAGAAGCATACACATATAAAGATACAAATCATATCCCTCCAAACTGCCAATATCCCAAAACCCCTCCTTTAAAAGTGCAGGCATTGTACTTCCCATTTCAGGACTCAAGTCCGACTATATGAAAATAACCGGTTTCCCCTGAATCCCTTCACTAAATATTACGATGCTCACACTCCAACAGATCGTCAGTCCCAAGTACATTCGTCTCCATTCACTCCTCATCTAACACGCTCACGCACGCTTGCTGGAAGTCCAAGCCCTGCCCACAAAACCTCCTTTACCCCTCTCTCCAACCCTCTCGGGACGACCCCTACCCTGCCTTCCTTCCCCTATAGATTTATATGCTTTCTATGTCATTCTACTTTGATCCATTCTCTCTAAATGACCAAACCACCTCAACAACCCCTCTTCTGCCCTCTGACTAATACTTTTATTAACCTTTTCCTAATTTCCACACTCCGAATTTTCTGCATAATATTTACATCACACATTGCCCTTAAACAGGACATCTCCACTGCCTCCAACCGTCTCCTCGCTGCTGCATTTACCACCCAAGCTTCACACCCATATAAGAGTGTTGGTACTACTATACTTTCATACTTCCCTTCTTTGCCTCCATAGATATCGTTTTTTGACTCCACATATACCTCAACACACCACTCACCTTTTTTCCCTCATCAATTCTATGATTAACCTCACCCTTAATAAATCCATCTGCGACACTTCAACTCCCAAGTATTGAAAACATTCACTTCTTCCATACCCTCCTCCCCAATTTGATATCCAATTTTTCTTTATCTAAATCATTTGACACCTTCATCACCTTACTCTTTTCTATGTTCACTTTAACTTTTATACTTTACACACATTCCCAAACTCATCCACTAACCTTTGCAATTTTTCTTTAGAATTTCCCATAAGCACAGTATCATCAGCAAAAAGTAACTGTGTCAATTCCTATTTTGAATTTGATTCCCCAAAATTTAATCCCACCCCTCTCCCGAACACCCTAGCATTTACTTCCTTTACAACCCCATCTATAAATATATTAAACAACCATGGTGACATTACACATCCCTGTCTAAGACCTACTTTTACCGGGAAGTAGTCTCCCTCTCTTCTACACACCCTAACCTGAGCCTCATATATATATATATATAAAGATATATATAAAGATATATAATATATTCTAGGTAGTAGGTTGGTAGACAGCAACCGCCCAGGGGGGTACTACCGTCCTGCCAAGTGAGTGTAAAACTGAAGCCTGTAATTGTTTTACACGATGATAAGATTGCTGGTGTCTTTTTTTTATCTGTCTCATACACATGCAAGATTTCAGGTATGTCTTGCTACTTCTACTTACACTTAGGTCACACTACACATACATGTACAAGCATATATATACACACCCCTTTGGGTTTTCTTCTATTTTCTTTCTAGTTCTTGTTCTTGTTTATTTCCTCTTACCTCCATGGGGAAGTGGAACAGAATTCTTCCTCCGTAAGCCATGCGTGTTGTAAGAGGCGACTAAAATGCCGGGAGCAAGGAGCTAGTAACCCCTTCTCCTGTATATATTACTAAATGTAAAAGGAGAAACTTTCGTTTTTCCTTTTGGGCCACCCCGCCTCGGTGGGATACGGCCAGTGTGTTGAAAGAAGATATAATATATCCCTCCAAACTGCCAATATCCCAAACCCCTCCTTTAAAGTGCAGGCATTGCACTTCCCATTTCAAGTACTCAAGTGCGACTATATAAAAATAACCGGTTTCCCTGAATTCCTTAACTAAATATTACCCTGCTCACACTCCAACAGCTCATCAGGTCCCAAAAACCATTTGTCTCCATTCACTCCTATCTAACACACACACACACGCTTGCTGGAAATCCAAGCCCCTCGCCCACAAAACCTCCTTTACCCCTTCCCTCCAATGTTATCGAGGATGACCCCTACCCTGCCTTCCTTCCCCTACAGATTTATATGCTCTCCATGTCATTCCATTTTGATCCATTCTCTCTAAATGACCAAACCACCTCAACAACCCCTCTTCAGCCCTCTGACTAATACTTTTATTAACTCCACACCTTCTCCTAATTTCCACACACTGAATTTTCTGCATAATATTTACACCACACACTGCCCTTAGATAGGACATCTCCACTGTCTCCAACTGCCTTTTCACTGCAGCATTTACAACCCATGCTTCATACCCATAAAAGAGTGTTGGTACCACTACACTCTCGTACATTCCCTTCTTTGCCTCCATGGATAACGTTTTTTTGTCTCCACAGATACCTCAAAGCACCAGTCACATTTTTTTCTTAATCAGTTCTATGGTTAACCTAATCTTTCATAAACCCATCTGCTGACAAGCCAACTCCCAAATATCTGAACACATTCACTTCTTCCATATTCCCTCCCTCCAATCTGGTATCTAATTTTTCTTTATCTAAATCATTTGATACCCTCATCATCTTATTCTTGTCTATGTTCACTTTCAACTTTCTACCTTTACATACTCTCCCAAACTTGCCCTAAGTAATTTTTTTTTTTTTTCAACAAGTCGGCCGTCTCCCACCAAGGCAGGGTGACCCAAAAAGAAAGAAAATCCCCAAAAAGAAAATACTTTCATCATCATTCAACACTTTCACCTCACTCACACATAATCACTGTTTTTGCAGAGGTGCCCAGAATACGTACAACAGTTTAGAAGTATACATGTATAAAAATACACAATATATCCCTCTAAACTGCCAATATCCCAAACTCCTCCTTTAGAGTGCAGGCATTGTACTTCCCATTTCCAGGACTCAAGTCCGGCTATATAAAATAACCGGTTTCCTGAATCCCTTCACTAAATATTACCCTGCTCACACTCCAACAGCTCGTCAGGTCCCAAATACCATTTGTCTCCATTCGCTCCTAACTAACATGCTCACACACGCTTGCTGGAAGTCCAAACCCCTCGCCCACAACACCTCCTTCACCCCCTCCCTCCAACCTTTTCGAGGACGACCCCTACCCCGCCTTCCTTCCCCTACAGATTTATACGCTCTCCATGTCATTCTACTTTGATCCATTCTCTCTAAATGACCAAAACACCTCAACAAACCCTCTTCAGCCCTCTGAATAATACTTTTATTAGCTCCACAACTTCTCCTAATTTCCACACATGTTAATAAGTATGGATAATTGTACCTGTGGACCTGTACCTAAATAAATTTACTTGCTTTTTAACAATATATAAAAAATTCTAGGTAGTAGGTTGGTAGACAGCAACTGCCCAGGGAGGTACCACCGTCCTGCCAAGCGAGTGTAAAATGGAAGCCTGTAATTGTTTTACACGATGGTAGGATTGCTGGTGTCTTTTTATTGTCTCATACACATGCAAGATTTCAGGTATGTCTTGCTACTTCTACTTACACTTAGGTCACACTACACATACATGTACAAGCATATATATACACTTCCTCTGGGCTTTCTTTTATTTTCTTTCTAGTTCTTGTTCTTGTTTATTTCCTCTTACCTTCATGGGAAAGTGGAACATGATTCTTCCTCCGTAAGCCATGCGTGTTGTAAGAGGCGACTAAAATGCCGGGAGCAAGGGGCTAGTAACCTCTTCTCCTATATATATTACTAAATGTAAAAGGAGAAACTTTCGTTTTTCCTTTTGGGCCACCCCGCCTCGGTGGGATACAGCCGGTGTGTTGAAAGAAGAAGATATAACAAATTAACACTGTCAATATCAGCCTGTTCCTATTATGACCAACTCAGTCTTATATTACATAAATGATAATCACAATGCAAGTAAAACCATTCAAAATCCATATTTCACATTCTGTAATCCATGTCCATAAAAGCATTCCACGTCACCAGTCAGGAGTGTGAGCAAATTTTGATGAAAGGGGAAATATCCCCTCCATATATAATGAGAGGGATATTGAGCTTTTAGTCAGGCTAGCAACTTATGGGGAGAGGAGCATCCCCCACCCCCAGAGAAGAGATCCCCACTTATTCTCAACTCACTAAAAATTCTTGGTGTCATGTTAACAGCTAACAGTATAGGGAAGGTACTCACCACACACCATCATGTTGAAAAGGCATGAGGGCGTCCAAGAGTTTCGGGTCAAGCCCAAATAAGTCCACACATGAAGCTGGAACTTGCTGTGTAATGGATGCCAAGGTCTAGAATGAAAAAACAAAACATTGGCACACAAACATGTTTCAAAGTACTATATGTAGTACATAAAAGAAATATTAGTAAAAAAAAATTCCAAGGGAGCCAACCATCTTTTTTAATTTACAAAAAGCATATAACTTACCCACTGTACTTTTCTCCTGGCTTACTGCAGTTCTTTAGGGCAGAGGGTCAACAACAACTTTTGTTGTCCATGAATAATGTACAGTGGACTTAACGTATTTTTACACATCAGAATAGTTCAGGTACCAGTTTTAAATTTGACAATTTGTTCCCATAAGAAACATTGTAAGCAGTATTAATAATTTTAGACCCCTAAATATAGGAGCAAACAAACGCACTAAAAAAAACACTAGGATAAGTAGTTCTTGGCAATTTTCGTAAAGTAAAATTCGTTATGGGTGTTTCATTGTATTTTCATTCTGGTTTAATATTTCTATTTGTCTTATATCAAAGTTTATAACAACTTTTGAAGGAACTAAATAAATTTACAATAATAAGAGTTATTCAATTGTTATGATAATTGCATAAATGTTAGGAGATCAAACAATTAGACATTTGAACTTTAAAAAATGTTAGGGGAAGTAGTTCTTTGTGCATTTTTGCAGAACAAGTGGCTCTGTCTTCTAAGAAATGAGGTAAGTTTATTTATCTCAGCTGGTTCAAATAGTTTTCAGTTTGATTATACTAAAACAACAACTTTCAGGCTAGGACGATTATAAAGTCCCAACTTCCAATATTGTATTGTACTAGGGAAAATTGTCTTAAATTCATTTTTTAATTCTGTATCTTTAATTATTATTTTAAAAACAAACAACAAATTTTGAAATCAATTTGGGTCACTTTTGAAATACATTCTTGTTGGGGCAGTTCTTCTTTGTAAACTTTTGCCACTTCAATTTGCTTCTACTCTGACTACAGAACTACAGTGTGTGCAAAATAGGAGTTTGACTTATCACTCCCTCACCTCGAAGTCGATGTTTTCACTACCCACCAATTATTGATGGACCTATCTACATCACTCCAGTGTTAACGGGATGATTCCAAAAGTCCTCAACGTCATCACAATTTCATCTCTGTATTGTACGAGGAAGCACTTTGTCGTAAAATCGTTTCCACACTAAATTTTTAATTTCTGAAAATCACTTAAATATTATTACTCTAAAACAATATCAACACATTCTCATGTAAATATTCAATTTTAGGTTCAGTTCTGAAATACATTTTCTTGGCTTGGTAGTTGCCAGTATCTCTCTTCTTTCACTACTATTACACTCTACACTATTTCTTCTACCTCTACTACTAGTACTACCAGTGCTGCTGCCATTACTATTATTATTTCTAGAGCCACCACCACTACTAACATCACTACCACCACCACCACCACCACTCCCTTTTCACCTACCCCTTTACCATATTATCTTCTGGCCTTCTCTACTTTTCTCAGCCCCATTGTGATTTAACAAAGGTTCAGGATGGATCAAAATGTCCAAAGCGTCATCACAATTTCTCTCCTCAGCCGAGGTTAATGGTAAATTCTTTAGCTAGCATCTGATTCAAAGTCAATTTACACTGCAGGCCTACCCCAAGAATCACAAGATAAAAATTGATTTAATCCTAATTGTAGGAGACTGCTGGCTTCACTGAATTCCAATAGATTCAAAAATTATGTGAAAAGCATAATAAAATGGAATGAAAAAGCAAATATAAGACAGGTTGACAATGCATAACATGAAATTTTAAATGCTGAAAGGGTTTTGAAATATAGGTTATAACTAAAGGAAGGTGTGGATCACTACAACCACCACACACACTACTGTTATGGAGTCATTCCCAGTGTAAAGCTCAATTAATACTGTACTGCAGTGCAATATTGTCTTCACATTGTAGTGCTTCTTTATAAATTATACTGTGTTTATTTTTTAACACACTGGCCGTTTCCTCACTCACCTTACGAACAAATGATGGAAGAGGGCTAATGCAGACAGCTGGTCTGAGAGGGCTGAGAGCTGCAACCAACTTATCGTGCTCACTTACAGCAAAATCCCATTTTCGAGTGGTAGCATCTGAAAAAAGAAATGAAGTTTGCAAATAAAAAACAATAAAACAAAATAAACAACTACTAACATTGAAAGTAATGCAAATGATAAAGAAACATTCCTATCTTGCATTTACTCATTTCATAAAGAACCCAGGAGTTTTCATCTCTTTAGACTAGCCTCTGCATTATCATTTAATTTAGCAAAATTATCATCAAATGTTCATTTAAAATAGGGACTGTATTCTTTACTTTAATTACAATTCAGTAGTTGATAAGAAGCAAGAATAAATGGCACAATACAATGACTGGAACAATACATAAATAGTAGAATTACCAACAATATGTTAGGTAAAAGGACACAAATGCAACTAATGTGACATTTTATTGTGGCAACATTTCGTTAACCTAGTGTGTGACTATTTAATGGTCCAACTTGGACCAAAACATTGTGATAAGTTTCCTTCTATATGCAGGTTATCTGCGTATTGTTTACTTTATTCTTTAGACTTTTCTGCTGATAGTGTACGTTTACTTTCCAGTATCTAATTACTACACATTCACTTCTCCACTCCTTCCTTCCTTTCTTCTTACCTTATATCCTTCATTCCTTATACTTATATTTATTATCACTTTTTTGTACTTAACTTTACTCTTTTATATACCATTTTGAACTCTTTAACAAACCCATGAAGCTTCTCTTCTGAGTCAATCAACAGCACAGTTTTCTGCTAACAGAAACTGCTGCATCTACTAGAAATCTGATTTGTTACCCTAAACAAGTATGATATTTTATGTAACACTGCCCACCTCCCACTAAGGTAAGGTTATCCCCCCCCAAAAAAAAAGTACAAATAGGATTCACTGTCACTCAATCACTGTCCAGCCAGAAGCTCACTAACATAACAGTTCACATGGCTCTCCAAACTGTAACGTACCCACCTCTCCTTCTTTGCATGGCACTGTACTTTCCACTTCCAGGACTCAAGTCCAGCTAACCAGGTTAGCTTCCTAGATATGTTATGGAATATCTCATTTGACAAAAGTAGCTATACTGACTGCTCAGGTTCGTACAGTACATAAGTGGGAACAGAGCGAGTCCTTAATACAGTGGACCCCCGCATAACGATCACCTCCGAATGCGACCAATTATGTAAGTGTATTTATGTAAGTGCGTTTGTACATGTATGTTTGGGGGTCTGAAATGGACTAATCTACTTCACAATATTCCTTATGGGAACAAATTCGGTCAGTACTGGCACCTGAACATACTTCTGGAGTGAAAAAATATCGTTAACCGGGGGTCCACTGTACATAATAATATAAAATTTATAGTATGAAAACTTGCACACCAGGTCAGCAAGCTAAGGACAATTTGCTGATGAAGTACCAAGCATACTATTAATATTTACAATAAGAAAAGTTTTCCAAGGTACACTTCAAAGAATATCTTAACAGAACTTACCATAATGTTTTGTGGTCATAGTTTTAAAAATCTCAATCATCTGTGTATGGAATCCCACATCCACGACAAACCTCTCCAACGAATGAAGTCTGAATGTTCCATTTACTGTTTTTCCAAAAGCAGACTTTGCTCCTGAAAATATAAAATAATGTATATAGTCTTAATTTTATAAATGATCAACTAAGCGCTTTAATGCATCCATACAGCATAGTATTTTCATCCAATTTAACCCAGAAAAACTAGAACCATCATCAAAAACAATCTCTGCAGCTGCAAACATAAACATACCACACCTTCAATAATTTTCCCACTAATACAGTACTGTAGTGCTCCAGGGGTCATCTAAAAACCAAAGTTTATATTCTCATTCCAAAAAGGCATCAGCCTTTTTGGAATCAGCCCTTTTGCTCCATCATCTAAATAATGGAGGGATTTGGATGTGTTTCTTGTTATGTATGTCACAGACTTGTAATATCAAAGACATCTGTCCTAACTTTCATATTTTTCTTGTGAATTTTCAATGAGTCCAGACAGTCATTATACCTATTAATGGGTGATTGGGGGCCACCTACTCCCAAGTCCAGATCTACACTGCTTCACATTTCAACTTCTCACTCCTCTTGGGAAGAATGTACTGGTCTCTGGTTAGTTACATGATTATGGTAATGTGTTTCCTATTGGCCATTTGTAATGTCAACAATTTCAAATGCCCAAACTGGGCTCTGGAACCTTTTAGATGTGAGCCCTGAATGGGGCCCTGAAATGAAAAAAAAGTTAATGAAATGACCTTTCAAACTGCAACATCCCCAACCCTCCTCTAGAGTGCAGAACACTGTACTTCCCACCTTCAGGACACAAATTTGGCTAATCAGTTTTCCCTGAGTCCTTTCATAAATGTTACCTTCCTCACACTACAATAGGACATCACACTCACACAAGCTTGCTGCATGCTCAAGCTCCTAACACTCAAAGCCTCCTTCTCCTCCTCCTAACCCTTCCCAGGCTAACCCATACCTTTCGTTTCTTTCACCCCAGATTTATACAGCCTCTTGTCATCCTATTCTGCTCCATTTCCTCTAAATGAGCAAAACCACCTAAACAACCTCTCCTCAGCTCTTGTAAGTTATACCTATGGTTACCACACTGTCTTCTAATTTCTATGCTTTGAATTCTCTGCACAATATTCACACCACACACTGCAATAAAACATGACATCACTGCCTCTAGGGTCCTCCTCACTGAAACACAGTTTCTTTCCACAGATTCCTAAACACACCCTTTAACTTCTGCCCCCCTTTTGTCTATTCTATGATTCACCATGCCATTCACAGACTCATCTGGTGACATGTCCACTCCCAATCTGATATCCAATTTTTCACTGTCTAGACTTTTTTTTTCTCTCATAATCTTGTTCTTTTCTATGTTCACTTTTATTTTCCTTCTTTTGCACACCCTGCTAAATTCATCAGCTTCAAAGTTTCCAGAGTTGAGGAAATTTTATGTGATTCTGAGGTAAAACATTAAAACATATCATAAAAACTTTTGTTAACAAAATGGTCCAGAGCTCCTGGTCAGAGATTGGTATGTCTTATATAAAAAAAAAGTGCACTGACAGACAATTAACACAACTGGAATAAAACCAGGTAACACAAAATTAATAAGGCTAAACAAATTAAATAGGGAAAATGAATCTTTGAAGAGTGAAAGAGGTCATGAATTCTCAACAATGCACACAGAAAACATGTTAAGAGTTACCTCAAAACTTGAACAATTATTATTTTTTTATTATTATTATTATCACACTGGCCGATTCCCACCAAGGCAGGGTGGTCCGAAAAAGAAAAACTTTCACCATCATTCACTCCATCACTGTCTTGCCAGAAGGGTGCTTTACACTACAGTTTTTAAAATGCAACATTAACACCCCTCCTTTCAGAGTGCAGGCACTGTACTTCCCATCTCCAGGACTCAAGTCCGGCCTGCCGGTTTTCCTGAACCCCTTCATAAATGTTACTTTGCTCACACTCTAACAGCACGTCAAGTATTAAAAACCATTTGTCTCCATTCACTCCTATCAAACACGCTCATGCATGCCTGCTGGAAGTCCAAGCCCCTCGCACACAAAACCTCCTTTACCCCCTCCCTCCAACCTTTCCTAGGCCGACCCCTACCCCGCCTTCCTTCCACTACAAACTGATACACTCTTGAAGTCACTCTGTTTCGCTCCATTCTCTCTACATGTCCGAACCACCTCAACAACCCTTCCTCAGCCCTCTGGACAACAGTTTTGGTAATCCCGCACCTTCTCCTAACTTCCAAACTACGAATTCTCTGCATTATATTCACACCACACATTGCCCTCAGACATGACATCTCCACTGCCTCCAGCCTTCTCGCTGCAACGTTCATCACCCATGCTTCACACCCATATAAGAGGGTTGGTAAAACTATACTCTCATACATTCCCCTCTTTGCCTCCAAGGACAAAGTTCTTTGTCTCCACAGACTCCTAAGTGCACCACTCACCCTTTTCCCCTCATCAATTCTATGATTCACCTCATCTTTCATAGAGCCATCCGCTGACACGTCCACTCCCAAATATCTGAATACATTCACCTCCTCCATACTCTCTCCCTCCAATCTGATATCCAATCTTTCATCACCTAATCTTTTTGTTATCCTCATAACCTTACTCTTTCCTGTATTCACTTTTAATTTTCTTCTTTTGCACACCCTACCAAATTCATCCACCAATCTCTGCAACTTCTCTTCAGAATCTCCCAAGAGCACAGTGTCATCAGCAAAGAGCAACTGTGACAACTCCCACTTTATGTGTGATTCTTTATCTTTTAACTCCACGCCTCTTGCCAAGACCCTCGCATTTACTTCTCTTACAACCCCATCTATAAATATATTAAACAACCACGGTGACATCACACATTCTTGTCTAAGGCCTACTTTTACTGGGAAATAATTTCCCTCTTTCCTACATACTCTAACTTGAGCCTCACTATCCTCGTTAAAAACTCTTCACTGCTTTCAGTAACCTACCTCCTACACCATACACCTGCAACATCTGCCACATTGCCCCCTATCCACCCTGTCATACGCCTTTTCCAAATCCATAAATGCCACAAAAACCTCTTTAGCCTTATCTAAATACTGTTCACTTATATGTTTCACTGTAAACACCTGGTCCACACACCCCCTACCTTTCCTAAAGCCGCCTTGTTCATCTGCTATCCTATTCTCCGTCTTACTCTTAATTCTTTCAATAATAACTATACCATACACTTTACCAGGTATACTCAACAGACTTATCCCCCTATAATTTTTGCACTCTCTTTTGTTCCCTTTGCCTTTATACAAAAGAACTATGCATGCTCTCTGCCAATCCCTAGGTACCTTACCCTCTTCCATACATTTATTAAATAATTGCACCAACCACTCCAAAACTATATCCCCACCTGCTTTTAACATTTCTATCTTTATCCCATCAATCCCGGCTGCCTTACCCCCTTTCATTTTACCTACTGCCTCACGAACTTCCCCCACACTCACAACTGGCTCTTCCTCACTCCTACAATATGTTATTCCTCCTTGCCCTATACACGAAATCACAGCTTCCCTATCTTCATCAACATTTAACAATTCCTCAAAATATTCCCTCCATCTTCCCAATACCTCTAACTCTCCATTTAATAACTCTCCTCTTCTATTTTTAACTGACAAATCCATTTGTTCTCTAGGCTTCCTTAACTTGTTAATCTCACTCCAAAACTTTTTCTTATTTTCAACAAAATTTGTTGATAACATCTCACCCACTCTCATTTGCTCTCTTTTTACATTGCTTCACCACTCTCTTAACCTCTCTCTTTTTCTCCATATACTCTTCCCTCCTTGCATCACTTCTACCTTGTAAAAACTTCTCATATGCTAACTTTTTCTCCCTTACTGCTCTCTTTACAGCGTCATTCCACCAATCGCTCCTCTTCCCTCCCGCACCCACTTTCCTGCAACCACAAACTTCTGGTGAACACTCTAACACTACATTTTTAAAACTACCCCATACCTCTTCGACCCCAATGCCTATGCTCTCATTAGCCCATCTATCCTCCAATAGCTGTTTATATCTTACCCTAACTGCCTCCTCTTTTAGTTTATAAACCTTCACCTCTCTCTTCCCTGATGCTTCTATTCTCCTTGTATCCCATCTACCTTTTACTCTCAGTGTAGCTACAACTAGAAAGTGATCTGATATATCTGTGGCCCCTCTATAAACATGTACATCCTGAAGTCTACTCAACAGTCTTTTATCTACCAATACATAATCCAACAAACTACTGTCATTTCGCCCTACATCATATCTTGTATACTTATTTATCCTCTTTTTCTTAAAATATGTATTACCTATAACTAAACCCCTTTCTATACAAAGTTCAATCAAAGGGCTCCCATTATCATTTACACCTGGCACCCCAAACTTACCTACCACACCCTCTCTAAAAGTTTCTCCTACTTTAGCATTCAGATCCCCTACCACAATTACTCTCTCACTTGGTTCAAAGGCTCCTATACATTCACTTAACATCTCCCAAAATCACTCTCTCTCCTCTACATTCCTCTCTTCTCCAGGTGCATACACGCTTATTATGACCCACTTTTCACATCCAACCTTTACTTTAATCCACATAATTCTTGAATTTACACATTCATATTCTCTTTTCTCCTTCCATAACTGATCCTTCAACATTACTGCTACCCCTTCCTTTGCTCTAACTCTCTCAGATAATCCAGATTTAATCTCATTTATTTCCCCCCACCGAAACTCCCCTACTCCCTTCAGCTTTGTTTCGCTTAGGGCCAGGACATCCAACTTCTTTTCATTCATAACATCAGCAATCATCTGTTTCTTGTCATCCGCACTACATCCACGCACATTCAAGCATCCCAGTTTTATAAAGTTTTTCTTCTTCTCTTTTTTTAGTAATTGTCTACAGGAGAAGGGGTTACTAGCCCATTGCTCCCGGCATTTTAGTCGCCTCATACGACACGCATAGCTTACGGAGGAAAGATTCTTTTCCACTTCCCCATGGACAATAGAAGAAATAAAGAAGAACAAGAGCTATTTAGAAAAAGGAGAAAAACCTAGATGTATGTATATACAGTGGACCCCCCGGATAACGATCAGCTCCCAACTCGACCAATTATGTAAGTTTATTTTTGTAAGTGCTTTTGTAGGTGTATTTTTAGGGGTCTGAAAAGGACTAATCTAATTCACAATATTTCTTATGGGAACAAATTCGGTCTATAACGGCACCCAAACAGACTTCTGGATTGAAATAATATTGTTATGCGGGGGTCCACTGTATATATATGCATGTGCGTGTCTGTGAAGTGTGACCAAAGTGTAAGTAGGAGTAGCAAGATATCCCTGTTATCTAGCGTGTTTATGAGACAGAAAAAGAAACCAGCAATCCTACCATCATGCAAAACAGTTACAGGTTTCTGTTTCACAGTCATCTGGCAGGACGGTAGTACTTCCATGGGTGGTTGCTGTCTACCAACCTACTACAATTATGTAAGTGTATTTATGTGAGTGCTTTTGTAAGTGTATTTTTGAGAGTCTCAAACAGATTAATCTAATTTACATTATTCCTTAGGGGAACAAATTCGTTCAGTATCAGCACTCGAACAGCCTTCTGGAACGAAATAAATTCGTATCCCAAGGTACCACTGTATATCAGGCCAAAATTGGAAAGAAGGTACTAGATATGTATTACGTATCTAAAAATTATCAGATGCATATTTGGTAAAATATTTTTGCATAATTCAAAGCAAGATAATAGTATAAAGAAAATAATGTATATATAATATAGTGGACCCCCGGTTTTCGGCCGGTGTGGAAAACGCACTTTTTTTTGGCGAAATTTCCTCCCAAGTTTTGTACATCCGCTTGGAAATCGTTGGTACCAGACGCGTGCGCCTGGGCCGCTCATTCATTCATGACTCACTCTTGGGCACATTAAATGTCTTATTTTAGGTTAATATAGACACTTTCATTAATCCATCTATGATATTTTCTTCAAAATTATGTAAGAAACACGTTACATAGCATATAAACTTGCTATGTTTATATGCGGTGGAGGGTAAACACTGTTTTCTCTGGTCCAGTGTTAGAGAAAACTGTATGAATCTGCAGTGGCCCAGTAACCACCCTTAATACATATGCTTTTGTTTACAATTCTCGGCATGAATTATTCATTACTTCTCCCTTTGTTTTTGATGGTATCTAAAGGTAGTTGTTAGAAATGATTAAACTCAGTGAACATGGTATGTCGATGATAATAATATGATTGTGGGCCGCAGTGTATGTAGCCGGTAGGTAGGGTTGGATGTGAGTGACCAGGATGTGGAATGGTTGGTGAACAACCACAGGGAAGAGCTAACAAGAGTCTTCAATAAAGGTATGTAATGCTCATTTATCATTAAAATTAGTCATTAATATTTATTTCTCATTGTTTTCTGTATGTAAAACTTAAGTAATTCTCTATAAAATGTATTTTTTGTTAATATTTTTGGGTGTCTGGAGCGGATTAATTGAATTTACATTATTTCTTATGGGAAATATTACTTTGGTTTTCAGCCATTTCGGATTTCGACCAACCTTCTGGAACAGATTAATTACAAAAACCGGGAGTCTACTGTACCAGTAATTTTGAATAAAAAATAACAATTGTAAAACATTTCATAGTACAGGTATTAGGCATTAATATAAAACACTCAGGTACCTAATATAGTGCTGGGAGAAAACTGAGCAAGGAGTATCACTGTTCAGTGTTAATGTAAACAGGGCACTGTACAAGGTTTTACTATGTACTAAATTATTGCCAACCTCACAGTTTTCTAATCAAAAGCTGCTTAAAATAAATCCTGTAATTTTTAACAGAAGAAACTTTCACCATCGATCCATCAATCACTATCTACCTAAAAGCGTGCTGACATCACAGCTCAAATGACCCCCCTAATTGCAACATCTCTTCTTTAAAATGCAGACACTGTACTTCTCATCTTCAAGTCCAGGTAACTGGTTTCCCTGAATCCCTTCACAAGTTATTTTATTCACACTCCAACAGCACAATCATATCAAAACCCACTTGCCTCCACTCACTCCTACCTCTTCCTCGCTGTAAATCTAAAATTATATCTCAAAGTTTAATATTCAAATTAATGGGAACTCAAAATACTTGGATTGTTCTCTGTGAAATGGAGAACCTCTAGAGAGATAAATGATAATACGTATATACATAGAAGATATTTAAGGGCCTGGTCCCTGAACTGCACATTCCTAAAACAATTTACTGGAGTGAAAGATATGGGAGAAAGTGAGTAATAAACTCAGTGAAGAACATGGGAGGCCATGGGTACAATCAGAGATTATTGTGTCAACATTCTTGTCCAGGTATCAGAAATATTACCAAAATGAAGATTAGAGGATTTCAAGCTGGACAGCTTTCTTCTAGAAGTGCTGGATCAGCTAGGTTGTGATGGCTGTGTGGTCCTGTGAACAGCTAGCACAAACAGCCTGGCTGGCCAGGCAGTCAACAGGAAAGCATGACCCTTGAAACTGGTCACAGGCAAAACATAGGTAAATAGAAATATATTAGTATTACCATTATTATAATATTCACGAGAAAGTGCTAAACCCATAGGCTTAGGGAATGGAAGGCGATCAGGGTTTACCCAAGGAAGTGGAAATTCCAGCTCCTAAGATCAAGAACCCCTAATAACCATCAAGGCATCCCCTTGAGACATACAATTATTATTACAATCACAAGGGTCATACAGCACTTGAGACATAGATATATAGAAAATGAAATAAAAAAAATTACTCATACCTATTAGGGAACTTTCTCCAGATGGTACACTTCCACCCATTCCAGGCTGGTTCAGTACTGAATTGATCTTTGTGGGACTTAGACTCTGCCCTTGGGAAGACATTGTAGATTTTCCAGAACTGGAATAAACATGCTTGTTCTTTGCACTATCATATTTATAGGCAGTGAAATTAAGTGTCTTACTGGTTTGACTTCTATAAAAATTTGCTACTGATTTTTCAGTTTTAGAATTTTGACTTTCAGCACTATTTTTATTACTAAATGGATTATCGTAAGAACTCTGCTGATTTGAAGGATGCAAGCTTGATATTGTGCTTGCTGGCTGGAGTTTCATTTGGGCAGCTCGTTTCTCCAAAGCTTTTCTTCTGTTCTCTTCTATTCTCTGAACCTCTTCAGTGCTAAGGGAGGTCTGAGTCTTATGATTGCTTAGAGATGTACTGATGCCACTACTGCAAGCTGATGACTGGTATTTATCACCTGAATGATGAGAATTTTTGTTCAGTACAGTTTGTGATACTGTGTTACCAGAAAAATCACTACCACGAGACTTTTGCAGCTCTGCCCGTTTCTGAAGAGCCTTTAACCGATTTTCTTCCATACGACGTCTCTGCTCTTCTGTTAGGCCACTCATTTTTCTTGTTTATGTGTTCATTTATAAATTCTAAAACACCACCTGTAAATAATTAAACATTTAGTACAAAATGAGTTAGAAGTTTCATTATATGTGCAGTAGTCTATATAGAGAGGGGTGTGTCAAAGTATCAGTAGTATCAGTATCGATAGGAATTGGCTAATTTTGGTGGAATAAGAATTGCCCTAATATTGAAAATCTGTGGGTACTGGCTTATGTCAATGGTATCTGTATTAGTCTAACATTGAGTATTGATATAGGCAAAAACTTTGGTATCATCCCATCCCTAATATACAGAATTAACTAAAATGTATTCTTTCTTTAAAGTTATAGTTATTGCATAAATATCATGATAAGCAAGCTGCTAAAGCAAATTCTACTCCAGGTTTATGCAAGAATTATTAAGCACTGCATTAAGAAATATTATAGCAAGTTCTGTAGGAAAAAAATATTTAGTAAGAAAACATATTTTCATAAAAATAAATAAATGCCTGATGGGAAATCTTAGAATGTGGATTACTGTACTTACATAATAATGTACCTGTATGAGAGTGAGTCTGTAATTGAGTACTGTAGTACAAGTGTATAAAAAATGGACACAGGTTCAATACCCAAGTTATTTGTGTACAAGTAGAAGGCCATCATAAGAGTTAACAGTCTTCGTTGATTCACAAATGGAAGTGACTTTTTACAAATCTTTAGTTTCCCTGACTCAATAAATCGTAATGACACGATTGCAAACAAACCATACCCCCGGCCGGGATTGAACCCGCGGTCATAGAGTCTCAAAACTCCAGCCCGTTGGATGAATATTATTGTGGCTAGCTGGTCTTGTGGCTAACGCGACGGGCTGGAGTTTTGAGACTCTATGACCGCGGGTTCAATTCCGGCCGGGGGTATGGCTTTAGTTTCCCTATTTTTGAATTTCATCACCCTCAGGAAAAGCATGGGCTTTTAGTTTTGTTATCTAAGATATGTAAGTATTTTGATAAATACATATATTAAATATTTTTCACAAGTGCAACTAATATGACATTTTTATTGTGGCAACATTTCGTTCTCCAGGAACTTTGTCAAGCCGTAACAGCTTGACAAAGCTCCTGGAGAGCGAAACGTTGCCACAATAAAAATGTTACATTAGTTGCACTTGTGTCCTTTTACTTTACATATTGTCGGTAATTCTACCAACTTTATTACATACATATTTTTCATTAAAATATCTACCACTTCTATCTGGGAATTTAAGCCACACAGTAAATTAGGTGGGAGATGGCCGACTTGTTAAAAAAAAAAATATATAGTTTATTTAACCCCTACTCCTGTGTAAATTACTCAATGTAAAAAGAGGAAATAATTTGTTTTTTTTCTTTTTTGGGTCACCCTGCTTTGTTGGGAGATGGCTGTTGTATTAAAAAAATATACACATGGTTTACTGAAGTTTACATTGGTTAAATTCTCATTTTCCACCACTATATGACTACACTATGAATGCATAAAATGCAAATATAAGTCTTGCAAAGTAACAAATAATTATTAGGTATGTCTTCAATAGTAATGTTTAAAATAAGTCTTGAAGAATATTTCTGTACAAATATATATATTGTATACAAATGTATATAATATTCAAACAAATTATGGTGGTATAAGATTCCTGTCACTCGCTCGCATGTGATTGCATGCATACACTCTCTCTCTCTCTCTCTCTCTCATTCTCACTCACTTTCTCTGTATAGTACCTTATTTGTTTCCCAGTAAGCTATCTACACAATAAGACCTATGCTGGGACTCAGGAAATCCAGCAGCAGCAGCAGCAGCAATAATAATAATAATAATAATAATAATAATAATAATAATAATAATAATAATAATAATAATAATAATAATAATAATAATAATAATAATAATAATAAACAATAATAATAATAATAATAATTATTATTATTATTATTATTATTTAACAACAGCCAAGGCAAGATGACCCAAAGAAGAAAACATAGTATTATTATTTATTTTCATTATAATCACTTCTATTACATCCAGTACATATACAGTGGAACCTCAAAAATCGAACCTATCACATATCGAACGTTTCGAAAATAGGACCATTTTTTCGGACAAACTGTGTCCCTATTATCGAACCCGCCCCTATTTTCGGACCGCCGGGTACAGGACCTGTCTGCCGGCCCGCTCTGTCCGCGTCCCTGCGCAGGCGCCGTGAGCAGTCTAGCTTTGTTTATGCTTGAGTGAACACTAACCTGCGCTCTCATTCACACATTTTACGATTATTTCGTTGTGTTTAGTGCTTGGGAGACTGTGAAATAAGCTGCCATGGGCCCAAAGAAACTTGCTAGTGGTACCCCTGTGGTAAAGAAAGTGAGAAACACCATAGATGTGAAGAAGGAAATAACACAGAAGTATGAGAGTGGTGTGAGACTTGTTGAGCTTGCCAGGATGTATAGGAAAAACAAGTCGACCATCGGTTCTATCCTGTCAAAGAAAGAACAAATCAAGGAAGCTGATGTTGCGAAAGGTGTTAATATGCTAACCAAAAAAAAGACCACAAATAGTTGAAGAGGTTGAGAAGTTGTTGCTGGTGTGGATCAAGGATAAAGAGATTGCAGGTGATAGTGTTTCAGAGACGATTATTTGCGAAAAGGCAAGGAAGTTGCATGCCAATCTGGTACAGAAAACTCCTGGAACCAGTGCTGATAGTGAATTTAAGGCCAGCAGAGGCTGGTTTGACAGATTTAAGAAGCATAGTGGCATACACAATGTTGTAAGACATGGTGAGGGCTTTACCTGAGGTCCTCATGGAGGGGAATTCTCCTTCCAAACACTAATCCCAACTCCCTCTCTCCTCCACCCCAACTCCCTCTCTCCTCCACCCCAACTCCCTCTCTCCTCCTCCCTATCTTCCAGATGCCATCACCAATCTTCAATAAAGGTAAGTAAAAATGTTATTTTATATGTATTACTATAAATAATTAAAAACTATAGTATTTGTTGTATGTAAAACTGTAATTAATCTCTATAAGATGTATTTTTTGTGTGAATATTTTTGGGTTTCTGGAACGGATTAATTGTACAGTGGACCCCCGGTTAACAATATTTTTTCATTCCAGAAGTATGTTCAGGTGCCAGTACTGACCGAATTTGTTCCCATAAGGAATATTGTGAAGTAGATTAGTCCATTTCAGACCCCCAAACATACACGTACAAACGCACTTACATAAATACACTTACATAATTGGTCGCAATGGGAAATGATCGTTAAGCGGGGGTCCACTGTATTTCCATTATTTCTTATTGGAAATATTGTTTCGAATTTCAGACTTTTCGAATTTAGAACTAGCTCCTGGAATGGATTAAGTTCGATTTTTGAGGTTCCACTGTATATACACTTTCTCTTAATTAACCCGTAAACGGTCCAAACGTATATATACGTTTTTTCAACACTTGAAAGTATGTAAAAAAAGATCTTTTTGTTTTTTTACATTTGAAAATTGTGTAAAAAACTTTGATCTTTTTTTTTTGTTATAATTGAAAATATGTATAAAAAACGTAGATCTACTTTTGTAGCACTACACATGTGAACGTAGATCTGCTTGGACCGTTCACGGGCTAAAATAGTGAACTTTAACCATGTAAATACCTGTACAATGTACATTATTTCATATTAAGTTCAAAACTTTACAAAAATGTTTCAAGAAAAATAAATATAAAAACACATATATGAATAAATTACCTAATGTATTACATATTTCAAATATACATAATATGTATCAGTACCCTCATGTATAACTGTAACAATATGTGCTTCAAATTTCATAGGAAATGAGAAGTAATCTAATTCGTTCCAAGGAAGGGGACAACAGCACTAATTCTTTTAATCAAGGACCATTCTGCATCAAGGTGCCTCCTTGGACAACTAGGCGAATACAAATAGGGAGCATTTCTGTCTTGCATTTAGCAGATGGATGCGTTTAATGACCCACATGGGTTTAGTGCTTAACATGAATTAATAAATTAAAAAAGAAAGACAGCTCCTCGAGGGACTAAAGAATGGGCAGAAAGTCAGTAAAATTTACATGGGAGAAATATAATAGGACAGTGATATACTCATCAGGGAACACTAATATGCTTGGAGAACACATAACATTAATAACTTGCATGTAATTCATGGGGACACCCACAACCATCTTATGAACTGGGCAGAAACTAATAATCAAGGGGACAAATGGAGAAGAAAGTACCAAGAATCTATTCTAATCAGCCATGATGTAATGGACCAATTGCCTGCACCTCTTTTTTTTTAATACTCAATATTATTATTACTATATTATTAGTATCATCAATTATTATTATTATGATTATTACTATGGGAAAGTACTAAATAGGGGTCATGCAGTATACCATGGATCAAGAGACCCTTTGAAAGCATCAAGGCACCTTCCTGGGGGGGTTCTGGTATGTATTATATGCAGGGAGAAGTGTTAACCCTTAAACGGTCCAAACGTATATATACGTTCACTTGCACAGTGTCCCGAATATTTTGACAAAAAAAATCTTTTTTTTTATAGAAAAAAAGAGCACAAGGTATTAAGTGGTCCCAGATTTTTTTAATATGGTGCACACCGAGTGTTAAGACCCATTCTGTGCTGACCAGGTATCTCAGGGCAATCGTGCCAAATCTGGGGCGCTACATATAAGAATGTATATATACGTTTGGACCATTTAGGGGTTAAAACCATAAGGGTCATACAGCACTTCGGAAATGGGAGGCAATCTGGTTTGATCCAAGGGAAGAACAGATCAAATTCAGTAGAGACAACTGCAAGATGTTGACAGTTGAAACAAATGCAGTGGGGTAATTTATTTAGGCAATATTTCAATCAACACTGCGTTGCTTCATTGCTTGAAAGCACTTCCTGAGATGAGAGAGAGAGATGAGATATTGTTTGAATTTTTAACCCCAGAGGGTTAGCCACCCAGGATAACCCAAGAAAGGCAATGCATCATCAAGGGACTGTGTCTTATTTCCATTGGGGTCCTCAATCTTGTCCCCCAGGATGCAACCCTACACCATGTAAAGTAAAAGGACACAAGTGCAACTAATGTGACATTTATTGTAGCAACGTTTCGCTCTCCAGGAGCTTTATCAAGCCGTAATGGCTTGATAAAGCTCCTGGAGAGCGAAACGTTGCTACAATAAATGTCACATTAGTTGCACTTGTGTCCTTTTACTTTACATATTGTCGGTAATTCTACCAACTTTATTACAACCCTACACCAGTTGACTAACACCCAGGTACCTACTTACTTGCTAGCTGAAAGGGACAACAGGTGTAAGGAAACACTCCCAATGTTTCCACCCTTGCCTGGGATCAAACCATGGACACTCAGTGTGTCAAACGAGAGAGTTGCCTACCAGGCCATGGGCCATCATGTGGGACCATAGTCTATAAACTTTGTACTTGAAATCTTCTCTACTGACTTGAAAAAACAAAATGCTATTATTTATAAAGTTAAGGTTGAAGATTTTACTCTATTAATCCAGAAGATTAATAAAGATACCAAATATTGTTTCTGTCTAATTCATCAAGGAGAATTATTATATTCAGGAAGTGCTAACTGATAAAGCATGGAAAGTTTATGAAACAATTGGTAATAAACAGAAAAGTTATATATCTGGTTAAAGGAAGTAGTCATATTGTCTGACTTTACTGGTTATCCTTGGTTAAATCTACATACTCTATGTGATCATAACGTGTGTGTGTGTGTGTGTCCTTAACACTAATGTAAAATAATGTATATTATGCACCCACAACTATATAAAAAAAAAATAAAAACTTGCATGTGCCTCACAGCTGGACGTTTTGTCCTCCAGTAGAAAAATTTCATTGCTACACGAGAAACATTACCTCTACATTGCAACAGTCTACATACAAGCCTAGAGAGGGCAAACGCCACAAAAAAATGCATATGATATACCCAAACCTAAATAATAAAAATTAAAAACTTGCATGTGCCTCACAGCTGGACGTCTCGTCCCCTAGAAGAAAAAATTTCACTGTTACACGTAAAACGTTACCTCTAGATTGCTACACCTGACGTACAAGCCCAGAGAGGTCAAACACCACATAACATCATTGTTCCAAGCTCAAAACCCTCGCATTTCCCAAGAGAAAGGTAGAATCATGTTATATGTTTGAGAGAGGCGCGCCTCTTACACCTTCTCTCATTACCAAAATATATGACGTCACTGTGAAATTCAAATCTGCTTTTATCTTGGCTTTTGGCTATTGGGAATAACTTCTGGCTACTTTAAATTTAGCCGTGTCTTGCTAAAATATAAGGCAATATAAATAATTTAAAGCCACATATGGCTACAGTGTTATGTATCTGTGGTTGAATTCATGTCTGCATGAACAACTCAATGACACCAGTGGAAACAAGTAATTTTTGACTTTTTTAGGATTATCCTAAGTAATTTACATTTATGTACGCTAATTTTAATTATGTGTACCTGTGATTAAATAAACTTACTAACTCAAAGTCCCCAGTGGAAATATCAAAGATACCAGTGGAAATACCGTTAACCCCAGTGGAAATACCAATGACCCCAGTGGAAATACCAATGAACCCAGTGGAAATACCAATGAACCCAGTGGAAATACCAATGAACCCAGTGGAAATACCAATGAACCCAGTGGAAATACCAATGAACCCAGTGGAAATATCAAAGATACCAGTGGAAATACCAATGACCCCAGTGGAAATACCAAAGACCCCAGTGGAAATACCAATGACCCCAGTGGAAATACCAATGAACCCAGTGGAAATATCAAAGACCCCAGTGGAAATACCAATGACCACAGTGGAAATACCAATGACCCCAGTGGAAATACCAATGACCCCAGTGGAAATATCAAAGACCCCAGTGGAAATACCAGTGGCCCCAGTGGAAATACCAGTGATCCCAGTGGAAACACCAGTGACTCCAGTGGAAATACCAGTGATCCTAGTGGAAATACCAGTGACCCCAGTGGAAATGCCAATGATCCCAGTGGAAATACCAGTGATCCCAGTGGAAATACCAATGATCCCAGTGGAAATACCAAAGACCCCAGTGGAAATACCAATGATCCCAGTGGATATACCAAAGACCCCAGTGGAAATACCAAGACCCCAGTGGAAATATAAAATACCCAACTGGAAATATCAAGGATAACTCATATCTGACATAGACAGGGATGTCAGCCACAGCGCCGTGTCTTCCTTTGCAGATGACACCCGAATTTGCATAAGTGTCCTCCAGTGAAGACACTGCAAGACCTCAGGCAGACATCAGCGAAATATTTAAATGGGCTGCAGAAAACAATGTGAAGTTCAATGATGAGAAAATTCAATTTCTCCGATATGGAAAACGTGAGGTAAACTATATCGGAGTATAAAACAAATTCCAACCACACAATATAACGAAAAACTAATGTGAAAGACCTGGGAGTGATAATGTCAGAGGATCTCATCTTCAAAGACCATAACATTGTATCAATTGCATTTGCTAGAAAAATGACAGGATAGATAATGAGAACCTTCAAAACTAGGGATGCCAAGCCCATGATTGCACTCTTCAGGTAGGCCGTTCTATCTAGGCTGGAATATTGCTGCACACTAACAGCACCTTTCAAGGCAGGTGAAATTGCTAACCTAGAAAATGTACAGAAAACCTTCACGGCGCACATAACGGAGATAAAATATCTTAATTACTGGGAACGCTTGAAATTCCTCAACCTGTACTCCCTAGAATGCAGGCGAGAGAGCTACATGATTATACACTTGGAAAATCTTAGAGGTATTAGTACCAAACTTGCAAACGAAAATCACTCCCTATGAAAGCAAAAGCCTCGGCAGACGATGCAACATTTCCTCAATGAAAAGCAGGGGCGTCACTAGCACGATAAGTGGCATCACAATAAGTGTGAGGGGCCAGAGACTGTTCAACTGCCTCCCAGCATACATAAGGGGGATTACCAATAGATCCCTGGCTGTCTTCAAGAAGGCGCTGGACAAGCACCTAAAGTCAGTACCTGACCAGCCGGGCTGTGGTTCGTAGTTCGTACGTCGGGTTGCGTGCGGCCAACAGTAACAGCCTTGTTGATCAGGCCCTGATTCACCATGAGGCTTGGTCACAGATCGGGCAGCGGGGGCGTTGACCCCCGAAACCCTCTCCAGGTATTGTAAAGCCGATTATTATGCAGAACATTTCGGGCAAATTATGTCAATCTTGTCCCAGGATGCGACCCACACCAGTCGACTAACACCCAGGTACCTATTTTACTGCTAGGTGAACAGGGACAGCAGGTGTCCTAAAGAAACACGTCCTAATGTTCCCACCCGTACCGGGGATTGAACCATGGACTCCAGTGTGTGAGACAAGTGCGCTACCAACCGAGCTATGGGACACAATACCTGTACATGAGTGGTACACAGTACCGACAAGATGAAGAATTAAACACCTGTGCAACATCTGGGTATCTTTATTTGTAGACGTTTCGCCATCCAGTGGCTTTATCAGTGCAAATTCAAGGACATAATGGGAATTATTATTATTATTATTATTATAATCAAGGGGGAAGCGCTAAACCCGAAGGATTATACAGCGCCCAGGGGGGGATGTGGAAGGCATTCAGGCTTAATTCGGGGAACTGGAGCACAGATCCAATTCCCTAAATCAAGAGCCCCTCACCAACATCAAGGAACCTTCCATGAGGGGACATAATGGGAAGACAGTAGAACTATTTACAAAAGACGAGGTAATCAGTCCCTCAGCCTTGGAGATGGTGAAATCTTGAAGAGATTCTTCAAGATTGTACTGATAAAGCCACTAGAGGGCGAAACGTCTACAAATAAAGATACCCAGATGTTGCACATGTGTCTAATTCTTCATTATTTGCTGTATGCAAACCTGCTATGCACATCATTAAGCTAAGATAAGATAAAAAAAAATTAACCCAGGGAAGGGTTAGCCATCCAGGATAACCCAAGAAAGTCAGTGCGTCATCAAGGATCTTATTTAAATTGTGGTCCTTCGGTCTTATCCCCCAGGATGCTACTCACACCAGTCGATTAACACCATGTTAGTTGGCTGGTGTTACGTGAACAGGGACAGCAGGTGTCAGGAAACATGATCAACGTTTCCATCCGTGCCAGGGATCGAACCACGGACACTTAGTGTGTGAGGCGAGTGCATTGTCAACAGAGCCAGGGGAACCCTTAAAATTACCTTATAATTACTGAACAGTTGTACAATAAGGTTTGTTTACTGGGAACCTAAGAAGGGGATTCAATCACTTAAACGGGTACTATCATCACAAGAAGGGTACTATCATCGCAAGAAAAGTACTATCATCACAAGAAGGGTACTATCATCACAAGAAGGGTACTATCATCACAAGAAGGGTACTATCATCGCAAGAAGGGTACTATTTATTTATTTATTTATTTATTTATAATTTGAGCACACTTACAGAGGTACAAAAAAAAATACAGATAAGAGCAGCATGCCAAAGCCACTTATACTATGCATAGCATTACGGGCTGGCTTAAAATTAACTTAAGATTAACTAAGCAATGATGAAATCAGTGAAAAACATTAATGTAAACTGATTACTATAAAGCACAAGTGAGTATTACAAAGACAGGTCATATGGTTGCATGCATTGTTGTAAATTCAGTAGAATGGAGTATTCTGTTAGGTAGAAGAGTACTATCATCACAAGAAGGGTACTATCATCACAAGAAGGGTACTATTATCACAAGAAGGGTACTATCATCACAAGAAGGGTACTATCATCACAAGAAGGGTACTATCATCACACGAAGGGTACTATTATCGCAAGAAGGGTACTATTATCACAAGAAGGGTACTATCATCACAAGAAGGGTACTATCATCACAAGAAGGGTACTATCATCACAAGAAGGGTACTATCATCACAAGAAGGTTACTATTATCACAAGAAGGGCACTATCATCACAAGAAGGGTACTATCATCACAAGAAGGGTACTATCATCACAAGGGTACTATCATCACAACAAGGGTACTGTCATCACAAGAAGGGCACTATCATCACAAGAAAGGTACTATCATCACAAGAAGTGTACTATCATCATAACAAGGGTACTATCATCATAACAAGGGTACTATCATCACAACGAAGATACTATCATCACAACAGGGGTACTATCATCGCAATAAGGGTACTATCATCACAAGAACGGGTATTATGATCACAACAAGGGTACTATCATCACAACAAGGGTACTATCATCACAACAAAGGTACTATCATCACAACAACGGGTATTATCATCACAACAACGAGTACTATCATCACAACAACGGGTACTATCATCACAACAAGGGTACTATCATCACAACAAGGGTACTATCATCACAAGGGTACTATTATCACAAGAAGGGTACTATTATCACAAGAAGGGTACTATCATCACAAGAGTTTGCCCCATTTGTGTACACATATTGGCTTCTGTTGTTGAGGTATGACTTGAGGTAGTTGAGGGAGCGCCCTCTTATACCATAGTGTGATAATTTTGTTTACCTGGAGTTTACCTGGAGAGAGTTCCGGGGGTCAACGCCCCCGCGGCCCGGTCTGTGACCAGGCCTCCTGGTGGATCAGAGCCTGATCAACCAGGCTGTTACTGCTGGCTGCACGCAAACCAACGTACGAGCCACAGCCCGGCTGGTCAGGAACATGTGGAGCAAGTCGTGGTCAACTGTATCGAAAGCTTTACGTAAGTCAATGAAGATCCCCAGTGGGACTTCTTTTTTCTCTATTGCTGTATAAATATGTTCTAGCATGTGGATAATAGCATCATTAGTATTTTTATTAGGCCTGAACCCAAATTGACAGGGGTTGAGTATGTTGTGCTAGATGAGGTAGGAATAGACACGCTTGTGGATTAATTTTTCAATCATCACAACAAGGGTACTATCATCAGGCAGTTTTAAGATCATCACTTTAGCCAGGGAGTATAGAGAGTAAATAGAAAAATTGGGGTTTGAAGTCTTGGGTGAAGCTGGTAAGTCACTTGGAAATGGGTTTCCCGGCACTCATGGCGGCACTACCAGGCACGGAGGCGGCACTTTGTGTGATAAAGAGTCAAAAACTGTTGTGATGGTGTGCAGGTGGCGGCTCCCGTGGCCTTCCATCTTACCATTCTAAA